GGGAAGGGGCTCAGCCAGACAGGGCTGAGATCTCGTAGTCGCTGGCCGAGGGCAGGGCCTTGCCCATCATTCTGATGTTCTTCGCGCTGGTGATCCTGGTCATCATGCACACGGGCTTGTCAAAGTACCTCACCAGGGCGGGCTCGGTGAGCAGCGAGGCCAGGAACTGCTCGAAGGTGATGGCCCAGTCGCGGTCCAGGCAGGTGCTCCCGGGCAGCGCCGCGGTGCCCTGGCCGCTGCGCACCAGCACCGTGTCCTCCCCGATGTCCTCGCAGTGCAGCTTGTCCTCCTCGTGGGAGCCGGCACTCAGCACCGAGTAGGAGGACATGGAGCTGTCGTCCTTGGTGTCATCGTCGGAGATGAGCATGGAGGAGCAGGCCCCGTTGTCCCGGGGCGAGGAGTCCTCCAGCTTTATGTCTTCCATCTGCCCTCCCAGCGAGTGTTCCTCGCTGTCACCCGCCAGGCTGGCCGGCTGGGGCTCCACCGACTCCACCCCGTAAGGCTGGCCTGGCCCTTTCTTGGAGAAGAGGCCCTGGCTGCAGGATCCGCTGCCCCCGCCGCCAGCCTCCTTCGGAGGCTGGGTGACGAAGAGCTTGCCCACCTCCCCGATCTCCAGCAGGAGGCTGGTCACCGCTGCGGTGGCATGGTACAGCTCCTGCTCGTTGGGGTCCTCGCTGAACATGTTATACATCGTCTTACACAGCTCAATGAACTGCCCCTGAAAGTGATTTGGAAAAGGGCAAAGAATGTCACCATCTGCTGGGGGGCACAGAGGCAGGGCTGCAGCGGCCTGCAAAGCCGTCTGACATTAGGACTCTGGAAGAGCCCCGAAAAGTCCTGCACACAGGGCGGGTTGATGGGTTATCTAAGGTCTCTTCGCGGATGGTTCCATTTTTTACAATTTAAAAAATTTCCAACACCCGTGAAAGTGGAAAGAATGAAATGAGCCTAGAGTTAAGACTGTGTCACGCAGTTGCTTCCCTAACATTTTTATCCTTTGCTGAAGTATCTCAGGGAAATGCCAGACCTCATCTCATTCAACACGCACACACCTGGGTAGGCACCTTAGTTTCTCCAAGGTTAGCTCAGATCCCCTCTCACACGACACCTCTGTTGGGGACCTTGGACAGAAGAAATACCTTCCAACTCCCACCCAGAAGACTTACCTGTTTTCTGCTGGGAAAGTTAGCATTTCCATATTGTACTATAATTACCTATATTATTTTATCTTCCTCATTACATTTCAGCTTTTTAAGGAAAATCTGCCAGACATGTTCATAGCTGAGCAGTCTTTTGAGTATCCAAGGGTATTTTTAATGATTGAGATGAGGTGTGTACTCTCAAAATTGGATTTTTCATGATTCACATTTTCTCTGAAGAGGTCATTTTCTCACAACTGAGCATATTTTTGATGCACAAAAATATGCACAGAATAGATGTAAACAGATACTACCAAAGTGCCCCAAACTACCATTATCTTTGAGGGGTATTTACATTTATTTCTGACCAGAAAATACCAAATACCAAAAACCAGAGTTTTTGGGTTTGAAATGAATGAACTGAACTGTTGAGAGCTTACCTGATTCAATTTGGGTAAATCCTTTACATTCTTTGATTTTGACTTATTTTCTGCAGTCCAGAGCCTCAGATAAATACGATTTTCTTGAGAATTTGCCCTCTTCCCTAAAACCCAGACATCAAGAAATAAGACTTCAAATGTCAAGAAGCAGTACCCAACCAGCAGGAAGGTAAATGTATAGAGAGCCTGTACCTCGTTCCGGCTTCAGACTCACGGTAACGAAGCCATCATCCGCGCTGTGTTTGCTTCTGCTATCCAATCCAACCACTGCCAAGAAATAGTCAGAAGAAGAAAAGTAGACTGTTATGTAATAAACCCATACATTCAGCATTTGTAGCAGAAAACAGAGAAACCACTAGTAGGGTTGCCTGACTTAGCAAAAAACAGAACAGAACAAAAACCAAAACCCAGCATGCCGAATTAAATTTGAATTTAAGATCAACAGCAATTTTTTATTTTTATTTTTTTAGTATAAGTGTGTCCAAAATAGTGCCTAGAACACACTTATGTAAACAAATTATTGACTGCTTATCTGAAATCAAATGTTACGGGGTGTCCCATAATTTATCTGACAATGCTATTTCTAGGTGAAGAAATAACTCCCCCAGAATTCATTGTCACAACTGGGGTCTAGGGTACAATCAGGAAATAAAGGGATGACATAATGATGTCTTCAGAACTTAAAAAAAGGGTGGCGCTTGACCCCTTTTTTCCTCCCCCCGTTACACTGTCACCCTAACTTCGCATACATGAGACTGATTTTATGTCAGGCCCCACAAAAGACCAAAAACTCACTTTCTAAAAAGAAATTAAAATCTATGTTGACAAAAGAAAACAAATGTTATATGTTACAAAATTCCTTCAGATTTATAATCTGGCATTTAGAAAATATGACTTTCAGGAAAACCGCTTTTAACTTTTTTTTCCCATCTTAAAACAGGACATTGCAAGGCACACAAGGACTTCAAAAGAGAGAGGTGGCCAGCACCCCAGCTTCCCTTCAGGGTCAGCAGTGAGGGGGCCTGCAGCGCTCCTTCAACCATCCGAAAGGTGACTGACTGGTCTGCCCAATATGTGACCTTGACTGTCTTTAGTGTCAGAGTAATCCCAGAGGCTTTTAAGACTGAGTGAGGACAATGTACTATATGTCATTGAGAAACTCCTCTCCTCTTACTGTTGAAATGATTTAGCAAACAAGTAGAGATATTAAAATCTACCTAATGTACGGTAAGCCCATGCATGGATATTATACAAACTTTTAAAACCATGTTTTTAGAGAATGTTTAATGATGTGGTAACATGCTTACTGGATTTGAAGTGAAGAAACAGGATATAAAATTGGATAGGCAGTTTGACCCATTATATCTATGTATATATGGTTATAATTGCATACACCAATAAAAAGGACTGAAAAGAAATATTTCAAGATATTATTAGTTGCCTTTGTACTATAAGATTTTAAGATATCTTTAGCTTATTCTATATATTATATATCTATTTTAAAAATTTCAACACAAAGCAATAGTCCTTTTGGAGTCAGAAAAACCTTTTTTGAAATGGATCTTTTAATAACAATTAAATGCTATTGGCACGGGATCATTCCTGAAGCATTGGAAACAAGTGAACCCTTTTCTGAAATGAGTGTCCACTTAAAGATATGGCTAACATTTACTTGTAGCTAAAACGTGATTTGCTAATGATGTTGAGAATATTGTAGGATGTGTAAGGCACGAAGCTTAAAGCCTTACCACATTATCTCATTGAGTCCTTACTACATCCAAAATGACAGCTATCATCTCCATTTTCCACAGAGGAAAACTGAGGCTCAGAGATGCAGGAACCTGCCTGAGGTCACCTAGGTAACAATACGCAGAGCTAGTATTCTGTTCAGAGCTCTGACCCTCAATTTGTATTGCTAATAATAACAGGATTGGATCTGGCTCAGTCCTCCAGTTAATGACTTAGGTGCTCACAGTTCAAAAGCAGGCCTCAGCTGTGCTCATTCTGGGATGGCAAGATTTAAGAGGCAAAGGACTTAGGAGCAACCCATGTTTACTGTCAGACTTGGGTAAAGCCATGAAGCTGCCCTCATGATGAATTAGAAGGTAAATAACTGACTGCAGTGTAAGCCGGGAGACGCTGCTTAATCATACAAGACAAAGCAGCATGTGACTGAATACAATACACTGGAGATGTATACAGTGAGCTGGGTCATGTCTCTGCGGACCTAATAACCACACAGGCAGCGGTCAGCAAACGCTTTCTGCAAAGGGCCAGACAGTAAATGCACGGTGGGGCAAAAGGAGGTTTACAATTGTCCCTATGGAAAAGAATACAATAATTAATAAATAATAACACAAGAATCATCTCGGTGTTGTGCATACAACTGTAAACCTACTTTTGCCCACGCTGTATTTTAGGTTCTGCGGGTCGTGTCTCTCTCAGCTCTCCATTTCTACCCCCGGGGCATGAAAGCAGCCATAGACAATAAACCAATGAATAACAGCTTGGCTGTCTTCCAATAAAACTTTATTTGTAGGCAAGAAATTTTAAATTTGATATAACTTTCCTGCCATGAAGCTGGGAAATGAGATAATGTAGTAAGGCTTTAAGCATCGCGCCTTGTGATTTTTAAAAAAACATTAAAAAATGTCAAAAGCATTCTGAATGCACAGGCTGTACAAACAGGCCCCGGGCTGAAGTTTACAGAAGCCTGTCACGGAGCAGAGACAGATGGAAGAGAATGCTTTCTGACACGCACGCTTGTGTGGACTGTGGACAGCAGCACAGCAAGCGAATGATGTTCTTACTGAGCCTCACCCGAGGGGGAGAGGAGAGCAAAGCGTATGGCTTGGCAGGACATGTCTTTTCTAAACTAGTGGGACACCATGTCCACGGTCCCTTCCGTGGGCTGAAGTACCTGCCCTCTGATAGTTGCCCAAATTCAAAAATTTTAAAAGAGTAACATATCACAGAAAGACAAATACCACATGATTTCACTTATATGTGGCATCTAAAGAACAAAGTAAATGAACAAACAGAAGATAATCAGACTGATGGTTGCCGGAGGAGAGGAGGGTTGGGGGACTGGGTGAAAAAGGTGAAGGGACTGAGAGGTACAGATTGATCGTTACAGAACAGTCATGGGATGTAAAGTGCAGCTTAGGGAGTGTAGTCAATAATACTGTAATAACTATGTATGGGGCCAGGTGGGTACTAGAATTATCGGGAGAATCACTTCATAAATTATAGAAATATCTAACCATACTATGCTATACACCTGAAACTAACACAAAATAATATTGAATGTAAACTGAAATTTAAAGAATTTAAAAAAAGAAAGTAACATATCAAGTAACCACATCTATATACTTCTTTGACTGACTAGCTTTGGAGGCAACTTCTTCCAGTACCAGAGGGCTCTGTGGAAGAGAAATATAGTAGTCCAGTGAAAAACGTGACTTACCATGTGTGCATTCGGGGGTGATATCTTCAAAGAAATACTGAGTTGCTTCAAAAGCAGAATCTGGCTCGTCTTGATCAGAAGATGGCTCTAGAGGGGGCAAGAAAGATCATTCTCAAGCAGGTAGGGCTGTGACTCGTGACTTTGTGCTTTACTTGTTAAAGAAATGACCCAGAGAATGAGGAGCTAAAGGTACACAGGTGGGGTAGGGTCACAATCGAAAGTTTTACCTTACCTCTATCCTAGAGCCAAATCTTCCTCTTATTTTTTTGTTAGATAGATCCCAGCTGGAGGCAAACCTTGTTTAAAACTTAAATTCTCACCATCTTTCCTATTTGTTTCCGTCAGTGCTAGAACTACTCCCCTAGACTCAGCACCTCAGAGTCCCTGGAATCCCATGTGTTGTCAAAGTTATTCCTTCTCTTGCAGAGTCTGCTCTTTGCTATTAACACAACTCATACCTCAGACAGGTAAGTGACCATAGGCTCAAGGACGTATTGACTCAGGAGGTTATGCAAAGAGTTACTGTTCAGTTCATTCTTAGTGACCAATGAGTGATTTTGTGTATCAAAAAGAGGCAAGCAGGTCACACACACACACCCAGAACTTCAAGCCAGGTCACGGTTACAGGTGCATTTGCTGCTGTGTGTGGCTCGCTTACCAGGCAGGACATGCATTTTGTACAGGAGTTTGAGTTTCTCTGTGAGGTCCCCGTGGCAGGCAGCACCTAGAAGTTAAAAAACACCAACATGAAATGTACTGTGTGTGCTAGAAACCCCTCTAGGAGTAGCATTCCCCTGAAAAGTCTACTTTTCACAAATTGAAACCAAAACCCTAGGTGACAGAAGGTCTGGCCAGGGCATGTTTGGGTTAAGAGCTCTGGAACCAGGATTCTTGGTTTCAAATCCTTTGTACTTCCTCTGTGACCTTGGGAGAGTCAATTAGGAAACACAGAGGCTAATACCAAGCGCACGGTCCTAGGGAACTCTCAGTTGAAACGGACTCATTCACCATCGCACTTTGGGGCCAGTGTTCAGCCAGTTGCGCAGTCACTGACTTCCATTCCATACACTCCCACCTTCTCAATTCATAATGGGTTATGTGTCCAACGACCAGCTGTGTCATAACGTCTGTGACGTGTGTAAGGACTCTGCCTTTCAGCAACACGATCAGAGGAGATACAGCTGATTTATGGTTTTTGATAGTAACCCTTTATTTCTAATTCCATATAGACCATTTATTTGCTCACTGATTTCTAGAAGAATCTTTCTGGGGATTGGTATTAAAATTACTGATCCATCTTCACCAAAATGCATTTTTTAATTTTTAAAAGCTTGAACAGAATCTCTCTGTTCTAGGTCTTCTTGTCTTGTTTCCATAACTGTAACTGACCCACGTGCCTGGCAACTGCTCAGAGCTCTCCCAGTCATCTGGACTGGAGCTTACTTTGCTTAAGAACTTCACTGCATTTTAAGAAGCTTATGTATTTTTTCCCATGTTTTCACTCTCTTGGACCTCTCTTTCCTTTCTTGAAGATTTTGAAAAGTATTTTTCTTATTGGAGTTGACTGCACTAAGTAAATTAGATATTTACATTTATTTCTATCACTTCCTACAAGCAGAACCTGCCTCTTTTTCCCCTTCCTTGTTCTTGTCCAAAGATATTAAAACAACAACAACACCCTTTTCATAGACACTGATATGACAGTAAGTAGTTACCTTGGGGCAGAAAACGTCAGGATAGGGTCAAAGGGGTCCTTAGCCTTGTCTGGATTGCCCCACTTTTTAAAAAAGCGGAATGTACTTAAGTATTCTTTGTGTACTTAAAAATTAATACCTCCTTCTTCCTTAAAAAAAAAAAATAATCCTGCTTGCTGTCTTCAGCATGGAGCAATTAGAAAAAATGAGCTTCTGGATTAGCACTCATCGAATCCTGGGCCCAGCATGTACGAACTGTGCCGTCCAGTGCAGCTCAGTAATGGGTACGTGCTGACTTTCTAAAAACTATGCCCCAGCAAGTTACTTAACGTTTCTGAGCTTCCATTTCTTTAACTGAAAATGGGGATGCTAATAATAAGCAGGTAGGTAATAATAGTAACAGCACAGAGTGTGCCTCACGACAGCTTTGTTGTGTGTCCTTTAGGCACATTAAATACACATGAAGCATGAGGGCCGTGCCTGGCTCAGAGTAAACGCTGTGTAAGGGTTAGGCATCATTACTGCTGTTACCTCCAGGGGCTGCAGTTTGGATGAAATGATTAACAGCAGAACAGTGCCTGCCTCTAACCAAGGCTAATTCCTCCATGCTACCCCTTTAAGCATATTTATGAGTACTTTACACCCAAGTAATTCTTTTTCTTACCTAAGAGGACCTCATCTACACCCCCTTGCCTTTGAAAGACGATCAGCTTCCTCTGGCCTTTCAGTCTTTCAGTCACTATTCTGAAAGACTTAGGGCACTTTTTGGAACCACCATTGTCTGTGTGCCCGACACCTTCATCTCTCCCTGGGCATGTCACTTTAAAGTACTTGGCCCAATCACCAAGTGGCACAATCAGAATAAAAACATTTTTCCTTCTTATCTCATTCTGGCAGCCTGACATAATGCCTGCTACACCCACAACTCCTATCAGCGGGCCAAGCTCAACTACGAGGTAGCTTTTCCTCTCAATTTTAAGTGGATGAGAGTCCACTGGGATAGAGGGCAGTGAACAGTCAGGCAGCGAGGCTGACAGGCAGAAACTACACGCGGCTCTGGAGGCGTGGGTTCTCACGAGGGACCTGCCTCCCAGCAAACTGGAGAGAAAAGGCTGCCCTGCAGACAGTGGAGCTATTGTGGTTTTCTCAGCCCTTTATCAAAAAAAAAAATCACAAAATGCTTTTATGAAATTTTATGAAACATATTAGATATAATAAACACATAATCTTTTTTTTGTCCAAGAAAAGCAATCCTCCCAAACATTTCTTTTTCTCCTGTAAAGTTATCATGGCCTGCGGTTTCAGTGTTTAGGTTGGCATTTTATTGTCTTGCAAATTCTCTGATGACGTGTTTAAACTAGTGCTGGGGACTACCTAATGTTGAAGGAAATGATTTAATCATATAATATACCCATTAGCTCAAATGAATTTTACAGTCAGTTTGCAAACCCTAAAATGTGCCGCTCGGCCCTCAGACCCCAATCTTCTGAGGCAGTGCAGGCCGCGGCCCTGGGGCAGCGCTGAGAGCCGAGGATGTCACTACCCGTGATCCCCTCCCAAATCAGGCAGTCACATCGCATCCTTACTCAGCCCGGCGACAAACTCTCGGAAGTTAATCAGAGAGTCTCCATTTTCGTCTAGTAACTGGAACAAGCGGGAGGCCAGCACGTCAGAGTGAGTTCCACAGGCCCAGGGAAAGAGAAGAGCAAACATCCCCTTGAACTGCTCGAAGTCAATGCGATACTGTTCGAGGTAAGGCAGGCTGGGGTCGTGCCGGTCCAGCGCGTTGCTGCTCCCGCCCCAGTAGCAGCTGGTTAGATGTTCTGCCTGAAAACAAACAAACACAACAGGATGTTCTGGGGGACTCTATCGCGCAGCAGATCCCAGGAAGAAAAGGCCCACCTTCAAGTTTGGAAAGAGGCTTCTGGTCAACCCCTGTGCATCTCCTGGAGCACTGCTCTGGTCTCAGGGCCCCTCTGTTTTCTTGTTCCGCTCCTATCTCCACTTGACCACCCCCACCAGCTCTATGGCAACCATCTCTGCAGTTAACATTGGGCATGAAAGATCTGGTTCAGTTACTGGAGTAGGAGAAGAAAGGAGGGGAGCCCCTCACTCCAATCTTCTTCCTCTTATACACACTCACAAGCATTTTAAGAATAACTCCCATGAAGATAAATACTTTTCTTGTTTAAAAGAAATAAAGAGAATGTTAACCTGAAAAGGATCTATCATCTAGGCCATGTGACCATCTTGGTCTCTAGGTGAGAATGGCTCACACAGGTCACCCAACCCGTTAGCCAAAGCAGGCCATAATGACATTTTGAGTGTCCCAGTTCATAGTTTACTGTCCCATATACCCCCTGCTTCCTGGTCACCAAAATCACACAAATATCATCCTAGCCATACAGGACTCAAGCTACTAGGGTGTGGTCCTCCTGTTTCCCACATCGGACAATAGCTCTAGAACAAGTGTGGGTAGGAGCCACCGGGCTGAAGAGAGAGCGAGCTTCCTGTTTCTGTCCTTGGAAGCAAGGCAGCCTCTTTCCTCCCGAGGTCATATTGATTCTGGTAGAAATAGACACCGGTTCTAGGAAGACCGCAAAGATAAAACATATAGAAAGGACCGGTAAGAAACTCCCTGCCCCTCCCCAGACGTTTACGTTAGCTCTGGATGGTAGGTGGGGGGAAGGGAGGGCATGAGACGGGGGCTGCATTTTTATTTAATTCCTGATTTCACTGAGCAGTTCACTGTGAGCATGCATAGATATTGCAACAGAGAAAAACACTTTCGGAACTGTTTGCTCCCCCTCACCCAGAGGTTCTGAAAAGGGGGAGGGAGTCTGTGGTGAGTGTGTAGCTCTTCCACTTTGCTTGCTGCTCTCACTTACAAAGGAGCAAAGACCACCAATGGCTTTATCACAGTGGTTTACTGGGAATTGTAGCTAATAAGCTAGAAAAGAGGAGTGGGAGTAGGGACAAGAGGAGGAAGGGGAGGTGGAGAGAAAATGGGCTTGGGGGTGAATTCCTGGCTACGGGTGGAGGCAGGGATGATGTCAGAGGGAAGGAGGTGGAGGCTGAGGTCCAGGGGGCTGCGTGGGTTGGGCTGTACCCTGATCCATCACCAGTGATGCCCAGCAACCGTCTCTGGGTGGCACATGTTGGTGACACATCCCTGGGAGGGGTCCCCTTTACCCGAGTGATGTCAGTGGATAAAGGTTACCCAGGGCATTTCTTCCTAAGACACCCAGGTGACGCTGGAACCAGCCTGAATGTGGTACAGGCACTTTCACGGTGCTCACAACCATCAGGAAGGGCAAGCCATGAAGGTGACTGTCATCCCCCTGCCCTGTGCTGAGATTCTAGTCCATCACCTGGGGAGCAGGGGCTCAGAGATTAAAAAAGGAATGAAGTGATGAATTTGGAAAGAGTTCAAAAGAAACTAGGGCAAAGGGGTCCTGGACCACATTTTCCACCAAATCTGCATCAGGGTGGCGGCCTTTCACCTTTTCCACCAAGTTTTAGGCCAAAGCCCAACAGTAAGTGCTTTGGGGGAGGACTGCATCTTTCCTTTGCATCTGTAGGAACCCTCCCCCCTCCCACTGCCCTGAAACTGGCTTTTTAAAGACCTGAAAGGTCTGGTTGGGTGGGTGTCTGACACATAGTAATGTCTCCATGAATTAAAGCCAGTTAAAGTGTTCAAAAGACTCAAGAAAGGGTCCATAACTCAAGTTTTTATCTTGGTTCCACAGTACCAGACTCCTTCCCATCCTTGATACCAATCAGGGTCTCAAGTTCTTTCTCGGGGTGGGGAACTTGTGTTTGTCAACACACCCTTAGGGCAGGGTTTTGGAGCATAAGAAAAGCAGGCTTTCTTCAGGCACATCCTAAGGTACAGATAACACACCTTGTACCTGGAGGTGCACAGACAAGAGTGAAGGGTACTCAGGTAAGAAGACGTGGCAACACCGATCTCTGGATCTGGGATTTCTCCACTGGCAGCCCTGGCCCTCCTTTTCCAGGTGTCCCCCAAAGTCGGCCTCCTCTTTCTAATGCCATAGCCCTTTCCATTATCTGTCGGTGGTCCTGCTCTCTCCAGCTGCTACTCCCAATTCTGTTTAGTTACCTCCGATCCTCGCCCTATCTCCCCACCCCCCTGTGAAGCAGATCTCTTCCAGTCCTCACCATCCCTTTAGAATCTGATCTCAGTTGGATCATTTTATTTTTTTTGTTTTGATCCAACTTGGATCATTATGTTTTTCTTTATGAAACAAAGAAAGACCCCTTCCTTATGGATAACCACTTAAACCAAGCAATTAGCTGCAGGGCCTTAGGTGTATGGATAAAACGTGAATGAGACGGTACACTATGGAGGCTTCTCTCTCAGGTGCTGAATGGAGGCTGGGGGGGG